AATAAATAAATAAATAAACAAATACAAATAATGACTGTATTTACCCTTATTTAGGATCTGATTTTTTCCCAGCATTTTATTGTTATTAACTTGAGAACAATTGTATATATTTGTGGGGTACGGTGTGATGTTTGTTTACAGTATGTATGTTTACAGTATATAATGATCAAATGAGGACTGCTTCAAACATTCTGAATTCTGTCTTCTAGCTTTTTGGAAATATAGGATAAATTGTTATGACATAGAGTTGCTCTACAGTGTTGTTGCACTCTGGAATATATTCCTTTTATCTTTATTTTATATCTTTTGTATCTTTAATTTGTATCCGTTAAACTCTTCCTTCCCTCCTCTGATTGATCCACCTTTCCCAGCTTCCAGTAGCCACTATTCTGCTCTCTAATCCTATGAGATGAACATTTTTAGCTATCACATATGAGAAAATGCATGTATTTCTCTTCTGTACTTGCTTATTTCAGTTTATCTAATGTCCTTCATGCTCATCCGTGTTTCTGTGAATGACATGATTTCATCCTCTTTATGGCTGAATGGTGTGATTTTTAATTTTTACATTAATGTCTTTCAATCTTACACAGGCTACATCTGTCTGCATTTAGTATATTACTTTTAACAACGAATACTGCAAGTTACATGCTGCAACTGTTTCATTTAATTTTTAAAAAGGATAATACTGCAAAGATGGACCTTGCTTCTAATCAAGATCCCCGGTTTAATAATCATAATGGAATTGCATTCGGAGTGTTATCCAGTTTCAGTGTCCTCCATCAATAAAGTCTTCATTATTTATTTATTTATTTATTTTTGGAGAGGGTGCATGTGCTCACCAGACAGACAGACAGAGACATAGAGACAGAAAGCGAGAAATCACCCCCCAGGGGGGATGGTCACGCCACAATCCCTTCTCCTCCCTTCTCCTCTCGGGATCTTGGGCACGCACGCACACCCGCCCGGCATGAGTTTTAAGCCACCGGGTCCAGGACGCGAACTGCGGTCGACTACGTGGGAGTCCAGTGACATAGCCATTATGCTAACTGCTGGTTCCCAAGTCTTCATTATTTTTAAAGTTATGGTCTGTCGCTGTATTTACCCATTCTTTTATCTCCTGACTATTCAGACCACAAAGGAAGACCATCTATTAGGTTGTCAGAAAAGATATGACACATTTTTGCATAGAAAAAATACATCATGACTTTTCCAATGACCCAATCTAGTGGTCAAAATTGGTATTCTAACTACAGAAAAAATAGAAAAAACACTGTCTTACAAATGACTTCAAGATTTTTATCATTTTCAATGCTCCAAACTGGATTCTATGTCATATTCTTGGACCTGCACAAAGACATTCCTACTATTGCACTATTTATCCTATTTCCTAAGCCAGAAACTCTGGGATTTCTTTTTCTCACATCAGATCAGTCAAAATCCTTCTGGTGATGGTGCCAAGTCTTCCACTTCTTTATTCTGCCCACATGAAACCAATAATTATTTTCCAAAGATTCCAAGTTCCTTTTACGGCATTGTGCCTTTGTACATGTCACGACTTGTCAGGAAGGACCTTCCTTCCTGTGTGAACATCTCTCATGTTCAACTCCTGCAAGTATAGCAGGCAGAACCTTGACTTGTGTTCATTGCTTTGTGTGGTATGGTGGTATTGGAATGTTTCTGTTACCTGCCTGGTGACACCCTGGAATGTGAAATCCTTTGGAACAAGAAGCACGCATTTTCATACATCTTTATATCTTATCCAGCATGTGGAATGTGCATCGCGTAAGACAACTATTTAGTAAATGTACAGTAAATGAATGAAAAGTGGAGAAAAAAAAAACAGGAATAGCAATAGAAAAAAATTAAAGTGCTAACCTCCATCAAAGGAGAGGTAAGAGTTTTTAGCAGGTAAGAGGTAGACTTTTTTTTTCTTAAGGTAAAAATGTTTCCCCCTTTGAAATTCACAGAATATCTTTGTGCATGAACATACCATCAGTTTTTAAAATAGAAATTCTCTAGGTCTAAAGAAGAGTTCTTAGATCAAACTTAGAAACAGTTCATTTCAGTGGAAGAAAGCCTGAATCTAGCTTTTCTAGGGGATACCAGCCTGTCAGGTCCTGCAGGAAAGGTATTCCTCTTGAGGATGCCAACCTCTGTGCAGCTACTCACAGTGAGCTGGATTTTGGCCTGTGACCATCCTTTGTTTTCATGGTTTTTTATAATGCAGACCACCTTTTATTTATTTATTTATTTTATCATTCCACGCCTACTAGCCTGAATCCCATACCTGAGAATTGCCTGCCCTTGTTCTGTATAAAACCCTGCAACTTATCACTTTCCCAGGTTTTTAGACTGAGGCTGGCACTCAGAAACTATTTTGCCTTAGATAAAGAGTCAACCTTTATCTCCACCAACACATGGCCACACCTCTGTCTCCTCCTACGTAAAATAAAGAAGAGAAACTCTGATGGCCCTGAAGTCTCCTATTACTTTTAAACTTTTCTAATTCCAGTGTTCATTTGGTAAATGGTGTAATGGTAAATGACAGATTATCTGGTGGGTTGCCAGCTAAAATCACTCGTCTGTACCATAGATAAAGGTCTCGAAGTTGACAGTGACATAACAACTCAAGGTGACTTCTATAGTGGTTACAAAAACCACACGGTCCTAGGGAGCCACTTAGCCTCAGAAAAGATGGCCATGTCAGTGTATGTGGCCTTCCTGCCAAAAACGGGCCTCTCGAATATCTTTGAATCAAGATGGTAGGCAGAGCTGAAACATTCTAAATAGCTCCCGTGTCTCCTGCTCTCCATTCGTGCAGAAGTAAAAATAGAAGAACACTGCAGAGTAGGTCATTTATAAACTATAAACTGGAAATGCCAAAACATGAGCTTCCCCTCGAGAGGAGTAGGAGTTTGTCATCCACTTTGTGTGCAGGAGGCAACAAGATAATTGATATGCTTGGTATTTATAGCCAGGCAGTGATATCATGCTGGTAATTTGAGCTGCAAAGCAGTGTGTTTTTAAATGCCTGAATAAGTAATAAATTCTGGTTTATACTTAAATGATGCCAACCACCCAAATGAGAAAATAAAACTTTTATGTGATAAATGAATGGAAAAATGCCTATTGGCTTGATGTTTTGCAGGCAGACAGCTAGGTATTCAACTGAATGTTACACATCCATACAGATCACTCTTGGCATTACACAGATGTGGCCTTGAGCTTTGTCAGAGGTGAACCACTCATGGGAAATTATGAGCTTTGGGAGGCAGGGAGGTGAATGAATTGTCTATGAGCTGGGCTGCATCGTCATTACTCTATTGCTATAAAGTCTTCACATTGCTGGCTTGTAAGTAGTCACTGAAATGCATGCACCCTTGTTCTGCCAATTAGACTGTGCGTGAGGGGTTCCAAGACATGATATTCTTGGTCATGGAGATAGCTGCAACATTGCAAAAATGTGTGATACTCTCTATCCCACACTATACTTAGTGCCTCTGTTCCTTACTCTGTCATGTTAAAGTATCCAGAGATTGCCTGGCCCTATAAAGTATGTGTTCTCATGCAAAGACAATTTCTGGCTTGTCTTTTTCCTCATTTCAAAAAAGGTATTTTGAGTTCATTTATTTTATTAGCTCTAGTGGAGGACAGAATATCAAGATTTGTCTGATATATAGAATAAAATAAAACTCTTGGGGCAGTTTTGTTAGTTCAAATGTTTATATAATGGGAATATTACATAAGTTAGAAATACTTTTGCCATATACAGATACATATACTCACTATTATTATTATTAGCTTCACTCTTTAATCTTTTAAAAAGTTACATGTTCAAGTTCTCTTTCCTGTTTTTTTATAACTTATGCCACTAGTGAATTCAAAATGTAGCTCTTATAAATATTGCTTCATTAATTTTCATTTGCCTCATGCAGGTAATTATTAGTTCACTGGTAACTCATGAACCATGAGGATTAATTTTAAGTGAGTTTCTTAGTTTTCAAAAGAAACTGAAATCAGGACTAAGACCAACATCTTGTAAGAGGCAGCTTTGGGGGCACATGCTGCTTCTTAGACGCTGAGCTCCACAGACTGGGACCACATGGGAGGCCTGGCTTAGATTCCCAGTTCAAGCTAAAAGCCAGGCACAGTGGTGTGCACCTGTAATGCCAGCAACTGATGGGATGAAGTAGGAAAATTGTGAGCTCAAGGCTGGTCTGGGTAACTTAGCAAGAAGCCATGTCTGAAAGAACTAGACCACATGATATGTGACTATGTTCCCAGGTACTTGAAAGGCAGAGGAAGGAGTGTCACAACACAGGGACACACTGTCTTAAAAAAAAAAAAAAAAAGAAAAAAAGAAAACTTGTAAGAAATGCACATAGTAGAAAAGTATAATTTTCAAAATGAGATATCCATTAGCTTTGATACTGGTTTTGCTAACTTTGCGCAATGGGAATAAAGACTTTACTTCTCTGAATCTAGTTTCTCATCTTTGAAATAGGAAAAAAAACATTAAATGGGAAAATAATTTTTGAAGATTTAATGTAATTATATAAGAAATTCCTAACAGATGAGGAACACACAGTAAATGCTAGTTCCCTGTGAATTCATTCATCTTAGTAGCCTTAGAATGTATTGACTCTTCCTGATGTCTTTTTTTATTTCTACATCAAGTAGATTAACAACCGTTTCTAGGCTTTACTTGGTATTTTATTTAGTTGCAAAGTCTCACAAAGGAAACTGCTAAGGAGTCAGCAGTAGAGCCTTAGAGAACACTGGGTCACTATTCTTTCAAAAACCCATGCTGTTTACAAATGGAACAAAAGCTATGGGGTTCTCATACTTGCACCATAATGATGTTGCTGAACAATACAAAGAATGAGAGTGAGTTAGAATCTTTCCACTAGTAAAATTCTGAGAAATTCTTCCTGAAATGTTGTATTCTGGTTTCTGATCAAGAATCCAGCCCACTCAGTTTTGTATTACATAATTACCTTATTAAGTGAGAATCTCTTTTGAAAGCTGTTGATCCAGTTTTCCTTACACTGTGTTCTTTGTACAAGTTTGTCTTCAATCCAGCTTTGACCTGGGGAGGATGAAGCATGAAGAATATGTTGTTTTTATCCAAACTGGTACACTCAGCTCAACAGAGATCAGTAGTGACTTTTCTAAGTACATGGTAGGAAGGTAGGAAATCTATTCCTACTCTTTTTGCTGTTAACCACTGTTCTTCATGCAAGTTAGAGAGTAAAACAGGTCCAATTAATGTGGTAATTCATCAGGTTAACTCAGGAAAGGAGAACTCCCTCACCAACTTCACAATGAAACTCCCAAGCTTTCCAGAGCCTAAAATCCTCCAAGTTCCAAAACGTTTTGAGAGTTGAAATGATATCACAAATGGAAAGTGAAATTTCACATCTGACCTTCTGTGATGGGTTGCAGTCAAAGTGCTGCAATAAAAAAAAAATCTTGTATAACATTACCTTCAAGCTGTTTATAATGTTTATGTGAAACAAATTAAATTTGTGTTTAGACTTGTATCCCATCCCTAAGACAGTTCATTGTGTGTTTGTAAATATTAAAAATCAGAAAAAAAAAAACTAAAATAGTTCCATTCTCAAGCATTTTGGATAAGGGACAATCATTCTGTATCGAATTTAAGTTTTAGAGTAAGCAGACAAGGAGACATATTTAATAGACAAGTTCTTTGGTACTAAGGTGAGATGTCTGAACTCTAAGTGTAGATGCGGGGCTATCTAAAAATAATCTATAAATGTTGAGGCTAAGATAGTAGGTAAGACTTCCTGAGAAGGAGATGATAGTTTTTCCTCAAAAATTAAAAATAGAACTACCATATAATTCAGCTATACATCTGAAGGAAATGAAACCAGTATGTCAAAGAGGATCTGCACTCCCATGTTCATCGCAGCATTAAACACAATAGCCAAGCTACAGCTTATTCAACCTGAGTGTCCATCAAGGAAAAAAATGAATAAAGAAAATATAGTATGAACACACTAGAATATTATTTGGCCTTAAGAAAGGAAATTCTGAGACCAACAGTTGGCTTAATGGCTATGTCGCTGGATTCCCATGTAGTTGAACATGGCTCCAGTCCTTGATCTGGTGGCTTAAATTCATGCCGGGCATGTGTGCATGTGTGCCCAAGATCCCAAGAGGAGCATGGAGGAGAAGGGATTGTGGCATGGCCATCCCCCCTGTAGAGTGATTTCTTGCTTTCTGTCTCTCTGTCTCTCTCTGTCTGTTTGGGGGTCCCGAGCGCCCGAAAGGAAAAACCTTCTCAAAAAAAAAAAAAAAAAAAAGGAAATTCTGTCATTCACAACAACACGAATAAAACTGGAGGACGTTAAACTAAGCCAGGCACAGTAACAAAAACAGTATGATTTCACCTATACATGGCACCTAAAAAAGTTGAACTCACAGAAACAAAGAACAGGATTATAGTTATCGGGGGTTAGGAGCAGGAGACTGAGGAGATGTTGACCAAATGATCCAAATTTTCTATTAGCTAGGAAGGATAAGTTCAAGAGATTTACTGAACAGCATGATGACCATAGTTAACAGCAATGTGCTGTATTCTTGAAAATTCCTGGGAAAGCAGATTTTAGGTGTTCTCATACCAAAAATGATAATACATTGGTAATGCATATATTAATTAGCTTGATATAGCCATTTCACACCACATACATATTTAGAAACATCATGGTGTACATGATACTTATCATTACACAAGTTTCGTTGATTTTTTTTTTGAGAGGTTTTTGCTGTAGGGCACTTGTGCTCACCAGAAAGACAGAGAGAGGCAGAGACAGAAAGCAAGAAATCACCCCCCAGTGGGATGGCCATGCCACAATCCTTTCTCCTCTATTCTTTTCTTGGGACCTTGGGCATGCACGCACACACACCTGGCATGAGTTTAAACCGCCAGGTCTGAGACTCGAACTGCAGTCGACTATGTAGGAATCCAGTGGCACGGCGATTATGCCAACTGCTGATCCCAAGTTTTGTCAATTAAAAATATAAATTTTAAAAGTTGCACAGAAAAAAGGAGAGGTTTTGTTTTTGTTTTTAAAAGTCAATAGGAAGTCTCCAAAAAAACTTAGCAATTAGTAAGGACAGTGTCCTAGTCCATATGTCTAAAATGTTCTAGAGAGATCAGAATGGAAACCTATTTTTATTGAAAGAGTAGAGAGAATTTTAATAGGCAAGAAGTTATGAAAGGGAGAAGGGATAAAGTTTCATCTTACTTTTGTCTGAGAGTTTTTCTGACCTCTGGCACACTGCAGGGGAAGTGGGGTGGGTGTGAACTCAGTGGTCACTAGCTGACATACAGTACTTTGGAGCAACAGCACAGTGCCTAGAGCTTTACAGCAGATTCCAAGTTCATATCCCAGAATTTGTTGACTTAAATACCATTAATAGACACTAGTTCTATAGTTTTCAAGAGTGATGTCCTCACTATTTACTATCTTCGAGTACTTTTTCTTTTGGTGAAAGCACACAAATACGTATGTATGAATAAATAAATACATAAATAAGACTTGAGCAAATGAGTAGAGTTGGTTTAAAACATGCAACCCTATTGAGGAAAAGATATGGAGAGATCTCTGTAAGCTCATGTTCTCCCTGCTTCAGAAAAATGGCTTCAATAAGTATAGCCTGAATGACAAAGCCCTGGACTGTGGTTAATTAATGAATTCTTTTGGCATATCAGGAGTGGGAGTGCTGGCCATAGAGCCCTCATCTTTTACTCTGGCTTCTTTAGACCTGCTTATCTTCCTAGCAAATCTTAAAAAAAAAAAAAAAAAAAAAAAAAAAAAAAAAAAAAAAAAAGAGAGAGAGAGAGAGAGAGAATTAGTTATTTAATTTTATTTATTATTATTATCTTTAAATTTTACTAGAGAGATACACAGAAAGAGGAAGGGAAGGTGAGAATGCAAGCTGCCAGGTCTGGGGCTTAAACTATGGTCAGCCCTGTAGGAGTTTAGCACCTTAACTATCCTGCCACCTGCCGGACCCTTCTTATCAAATCTTATCTGACTCTTTGGTATATGCATTTTTAAATAACTTGAATATTGTTGGTACCTTCTTAACAGCTTATCCATGTTAAGAAAAAGAATATTCAACACCCCATTTTAAACCATGGTAAAGACTATTCAATGGGTACAGGGATCACTGCAATGGCATTTTACAGTGGAGGAGAGTGATGAGGCTCAACTCTGAATATAGCATGGTGAATTGGAATTTATAAAGGAGCAGACTGGGGGTCGATGGATAGGAAATTACTAAGAAGAGACAATCAGGGGGCAAGTGACTTATGGCTTAATAGACTTGATAGGATTCTTGCTGAAGACAGGTCAGGGTGATCAGATATCACCTGTAGGATGGCTGAGAATGAGGAACCTGATCAGATATCAAGAGTGATGAGATATGGAGGAAGGGAATACTAATGAAACTGACTTACCAGGGTTCTTTGCTAAAACTGAGTTTTACAAGAAAGTACACACACAGATCTAGGAGAAGTTTCTGGAGCCTAACTAAGATTTGGCCAAGCAGAGATTTGTCATCAGACTTACAAGTCTCCCTTTATTGGAAGCCAACCCTAACACTGAGAAGTAAAGGTACTTAAGGGCATTCTCTCTGTGGAAAGTCCTTGTCAACATAGCCAAAGTTATTTGATCAATGAATTCCAGAGCCAAGTCAATCAGAAGAGGGAGCTGAGTTCCTTAAGTAACAGGAAAAACCTGGACCCACATATTCAGTTTCCTGCTACTGGATTCTTGAATCTGCTTTCTTCCTTCTCTTCTTGTATCCTGATTATCCTTGGGATTTTGTGAACTATGTCTGTAGTCTTTCAATAAATTCCCTGGTTTTGTTCAGACTAGTCAAAATTGGTCTCCACTGCTCTCAACCAAAATAGTTTGACTAATTTAGTAAATGTTCTCACAACTGAGATGAGTTAAAGTTAAAGCAAGATGTGTTCCTTGAAGATTGCATGGCAGAATTAGCATTCTGTTTGGGGGGGGGGTGGATTTTTTTTCTGTCTTTTGGTGGAAGATTAGAGACTGTTTCCTGCTCCATCAGAAGTCCTGCCGGTTCCTCCACTAGACTGTAAGCTTTATGAAGGAAAGTAACATTGCTGACTTTCACACCAATAAATCCTATGCACTTATTCTGTAGAGGGCCTGGCATTTAGTTGGTGTGGGAATGTTATAGAATGAAAACATTCATGAACTAGACACCTTGTCGTACTTACCATGACATATTCTGCAAAACAGGCTAAGCTCTACTATATTTTAGTCACAATATAGCCACTAATACTACTTTTTTTCATTTGTTTTAAGGCTTCCATTCATATTGCTTTACAATTTTCTTATTCTACTAACTTTGGAGCCTAAGTTAATGCCTTTGCTTTGAAGGATGAAATTCATTCTGAACCCACATTATGAGCACAAGATCATAATTTTACTCAAATTGCATTTCAAATATGAAAAAGGAATAAAATCAAGTGCAGAGTGATTTTAAAGGTAACAAATAAAGTAACTACAAGTAGCTGACTGGACAAACTACCCTTTCTGATCCTTTCCTCCCTGTGAGAAAGTGGGGCAAGCACACTCCATGTGAACCTCTTAGTGGAAAATCGGTCTCTGTTGGTAGGCATCTAGTGTAGCCAATGCAGTTTGCAAAGCATAGAAATCTGTAATCCCATATTCTGAGCTTGGCTGGAAAGAGTTTTTGAGGCAGTATTATCTAGTGAGTGATCTGCGCCTGTATTAAAACAGCTGCAAAGCAGCTGGATCCTGCCTTGACTGTTGACACATGTTTTTCTTCTTTCTAAGACAGAACATACGTAAACATCTGACCTAAGGACAAGGGTTCCCATTGTGAGGTGCTAGAAAATGTTATACACCTGGCATTCTGGAAAGGATACACTAAACCCAAACCTAGTTGTAGCATTGGCCAACTTCCATGATGTACAATGTTTCTTGTATGGCAGATTTTCAGCTATCAATGTGATGTCAACCAGCTCACAAAATTCCTGAAAATGTATCCATTAACTTTCAT